CAACTGTAGTTTACTTATGAGAGCTATTCTCTAGGATTTTAAATAAAAACAAAGAAAAGATAGCTGGGAAATGTATCTTTACATGAACCTTTCTCATTCCAGAAGAGTTTGTCATCTCAATGTTATTCGCCAATGCTACCAGTTCCGAATTCTTGCCTCTTGTAACCCAAAGATGGGCATTGCAATTGTCAGTTCTAAATTTCCACTTGGACAGCTAACTGCCAGACAGGCTCAGCCCTCGGTCTGGCCCATCTCACTGTCATCGTTATGAACAGTAGCTCCACGTTGGTGTTCGTTGACTTCGGCACCATGTTCATCAATAATCTAAGAGCAATGGGAAGGCAGAAATGCATCTGTATGTTTTGTTTGCTACTGAACTAGCTTTTTGAGAGACTTTACTTCACTTAGTCACATGACACAGTAACTAAGTTTCGGAGTAGTTAAGTAACTTAGATCACGGTGAGAAGTGACAGAACCTGGGTTAAAATTCAGGATAATTATAACTCAACTGGGGAGAAAAGTTCTGTGCAATCAAAGAGTAGTTCTAATATAACATATGCTGAGTTTTAAATGTGATTATGGACAATGAACGCTGCAGGAAAACTTGCCCAGTTAAAGCCATGGCTGCCATAGTCTTTATTAACTTATTATAGTACTTCCATTCTTCTATCACCCAGTCCTCGATATGCTAGAATAGACCAAGAATGGGTCTGAGGAAGACTTTAAGGAGAGCCCCTAGAAGGGAGAACATTCACTTAGGTACTCGGCTTGGCTGTGCCTGAATTCTCCTACGACTATAACTCGAGACTCAGAACGTGGCCCTGGTTTCTTCAGAAAAGGAAAAAAATGTAAGCTCTCAGACCATAGTGTCCTCAACCCTCTTGAACTCCTCACCCCAGATTTTATCTGCACCTGCACCCATTCTGGTCTCCTAGTTTCTGGTCCTGGTTGTGAAGGTAAAAGCTTATCCAGAGCAGAAATCACTATGCTAAATTAAAGTTGCGGGGTGGGGGAAAGAACAAAAGAGAAGGCGGAGGTTGCTGACCAGCCTGCTCACAGGTACGCAGGCCAGTTCTGACGGTGTCCCTGAGAGCCAACTGCACATCCTG